GGGCTGCAGTGCCGGGACACCCCGTGCTGCCTCTCATGCCTGCTCAGGGTGATGGGGACACCTCAGCCGCTTCATGGTGGGACGCGCCACAGGAAAACATAGGGTTTGCTTCACACCAGCGGAGGGGAACATCATTTTTTCAGCCCATGGACAACAGGGGAGACAACTGAGTGTAGCAAATAACCTGGCTGTTACCATACCACAAAGGTCAGGGGTATTTCATGCCTCACTGAGGCCTCTAAGCAGGCAGCATGACTTGGGCTTCTGCCAGCCCCTGCCTGCCGGCACAGCACACAGAGGGGCAGCCATCAGGCTCTTGGCTAAACCCAGGGTCACGCCGCTGCTCCAGAAGTGCAGTACTCTGAGGACTGACGACAAATATGTAGTGTTTAGCCTGGAGAAAAGGAGGCTGAGGGGAGACCTTAGGGCTCTCTACAACCGCCTGAAAGGAGGTTGTAGCGGGGGGGGGGGCGGTCTCTTCTCACAGGTAACAGTCGATAGGACAAGAGGAAATGGCCTCACGTTGCACCAGGGGAGGTTTAGATTGGATATTAGGAAAAATTTCTTCACCCAAAAGGTTCTGAAACATTGGAACAGGCTGCCCAGGGAAGTGGTGGAGTTGCCGTCCCTGGACGTATTTAAAAGAGGTGTGGATGTGGTGCTGAGGGAGATGGTTTAGTGGTGGACTGGGGCAGTGCTAGGTTAATGGTTGGACTCAATGATCTTAAAGGTCTTTTCCACCCTAAATGGTTTAATGATTCTATATTTTCCTAATAGCTTATGAGAACTGACAGTAATGTAATAAAGTTACTGTGTGAGACAGAATGGAGTTCTGTTCCTCTGCAGTGAAGTGCTTACAGGAGCATTTGAGCCCCAAACAACACAACAGGACTTACCAACTTTCTAGTAGTTTCGATCCAAAGAGTGCAGAGCCCCAACTGAGAAAAGACCTATTTTATGGATGAAAAAATTAAAGCAAAACTGCCAAATGGTATCAGCAAGTGTCTCAGAGCACTTGTCCTCCCGGTGCATCCCAGTGCTTGCGCTGGAGGGAGAGATTTCTCCAGCAGATGTTGGTGCGGACAGTTTTGGTAAGAACACCGATGCTGCTGGGAGTATTTGTCTGTCATTGCTTATGGCCTTGACCCCGCTTCTGCCGTGCATGGTGTCTGTCCACCCCAGCTCTGCACGGAGGAGTCCACGGGCAGGCAGAAGCTGAATGCTAGGGCTGGGGGGGGCAGGGAAGGGTCTGGGGGGATGCAGAGCTGTCCCTAAATAAGGGTTCTTCCCCCGCTGTGTGAGAGCCAGTCAGCGCACTGAGTCGAGATATTTCTTTTTATTTCATTTCTGCAGAATGGGGTGCCAGGCGTTTAACAACAGCCAGCACACCACACAATTCCAACCGCCCAATATTTATAACGAGAAAATAGAGCTGATTGGTTAATAATGATTCATTCACCACTCCTAACTATACATATGCATCTAAGCTCATGTTTAAAACATCTGGGGAGGTTACCTGATTAGCATGCTCATTATTCACAGAGGGGTGTGTATTTTGGCATTATAATTACCCAAGGTTCGTTTGAGATACACTCTTGGCTTGACTTTGGTCCAGAAGTTATATATTTTGTTATCTCATGTCTAAGTGAGCAACTGCAAAAGAGCACATAAGACGCATTGTTTTGTTTCACATCCTATTCAAGGTTAGGTATTTTCTGTGACTTCTCAACCACGTCCCAACCGAAATTTCGTGATAAACTTTTAACTTTGCCGTGTCGACATCAGCAGGAGTGCCGTGGGGACGCGGTGCTGGCCCACGGGCCCCCACGCCTCAGCCCCACGCTGGGGCAGGCAGCCCGACACCATCCCGCAGGCAGCCGGGGAGGAAGAGGAGGAGGAGTTAGTGCTGGTTGCGGGCAGCTTTCCCAGGCAGCTTTCCCAGCTCTGGGCAGAGCAGGTGGAGGGACGGAGGGGACCGCAGCCTCTCGCCCGGCTGGGGAGATGGAGTGGCTGAGCCAGCGTTGCCCGCTGCTGCCCACTGCCCAGAGCTGCCCCCGGCCGGGCCGTGGCACCTTGCTGCTGGTAAGTGGGAGCCCTCCGGCGCTGCCAGGGCCAGCTCCCTGCTTGGGACGGGGGGATGCGGATGACCTGCTGGGGAGCGCGGTGTATGCCAACCCAGGTGACCGTGGAAATGCCTCTGTTTGTACCTTCATAAGGGAACCTCTGCCAAAAAAAAAAAAAAGAAAGGAAGAAAAAGGAAGAAAAAGATCATGCAGGAGGAATGCGTTCTCTGTCTCTGCAGAGCGAAGCAAATTTCTTAGTAGTTTTTTTCCACTTGTGCTGAGGAAGCTCACAGCCTACTCAAAATTGCCATGAGTTGTGTTTGGGGTCGTTTTGTTGTTTGTTTTGGTTTGGGTTTTTTTTTTGGTACAGAACCTCATCAAAACTAGGCAAAAAGTCCTAATGTGGTAATTTTAAGCCCTACAGCTGTTTTTAGTTCACCAAAGCCAAAACAAATCTTGCAGAAATCTTAGTCTCTCTAAACTCAACTATCATTTTGCTGGTCAGTGCTTTTCAGTGAAATGCTTAAAATCTCACAGCAGATTTTTAAATTTTGTTCACTTTAACATTTTGGCAGTCATGAGTTTATTCTGTTTATCAGGTAGGAATCCTGAAGTTTCACTCCTTCACTTTTGTACCACCCCTTGGCAAATGCAATTATTCTGAAAAAAGGGGGCTTTTATCTTTCTTTAAAAAAAAAGGGGGGGACATGACAAAAAAACAAGGCGGTGGTCACTCTTGTACTAATATTCAGTCACAAATGTTCGTGGGGATTTCCTCATCACATGCACATACATCTTCCAAGAAGATTAAAGATCTTCTTTATGATTGCTGTGCTGAACAGGTTGGATTTTTTTTTCCTGAGCAGGGAGCATGATTACATTCTAATCTGGAAAAATAGATACACCAGCATATCTCTGTTTGGCTTGTAACTAACTGAGTAGCTTCTGGGATTTGTTGCATAATATTTGTTAAATGGCTTAGTGGGAAAAAGAGCACAAAAGAAGCTCTAAAAATTATTATGAGAAACCTTTTGATAACAAAGAATATTTCCTCAAATGGATTGGAAAAGAGGAGACAACCAATATAGCACATCAGTCATTTTCCAAACGGAAAGGGGCTCCTGTCTTTGTGGTGACAAGAGACATTTTTTGAATTCAATCTTGTTTTAAAAAAAACGCTCTGACATTGGTCATGTAATGGGAGGTTTTTAGAGGACAAAGGAGGGTGGAAATATGAGAGAAAAGGAATATATTCTTAGTCTTTTAAGCATTTTTTTATCCCTGCAGTTGAATAAGGGCCAGATGCTGTTTATTTCAAAAACAAGACAAAAGACAAAGAGAAGAGCAGCTGTGCAGAGAGCGCGAGCGCTGCAGCCCTGGGTACGGGCACCATCCTTCGGCTATTACTCAGCACACCAAATTAACCTTGCTATTCCAGCTATTTCCCTGCTGAGATAATTATGTATTTTTATGTGACTGTGTTTATGGCATGTGAGTACAAAGAGCAGCTAAGGGTCTTGCCAGGAATAGCATCTAATGTACAGCAAAACCAACTTGTTGCCACTGCACTGCCAGTCTGTGGAGAAAGCGTTATTGTTTCCTGCAGCCCGGCACGACAGAGACAGCCCTACAGACCTGGGCTGTGTCCATTAGGATTTCTGTGCCCAAAAGGATCCAATTTCACTGTCCTATTAGTATCAGATAATTAAGATGAAATTAACTTAAAACCTGCATTTAAGTCTTACCCGCCCTTGCCTGCTCTGCGGGTCTGTGTCGTAGCCTGGGTGGGCTGCACAACATCTGTCTGCAGAAGAGAGCAATCGTCCTGGGCTGGCGGGGCAGGACAAAAGCTCTCCGGGTCCCGGCACAGACTGTACTATCCCAGGCTTGCTGGGGGTTCCGCTCCCATATCAGGCTGCAGCCCAAATCTGCTTCCCATGGCCAGATCCCTACCCCTACCTGACATACTGCTCTCCTTTCCGCATCCCCGGGGAGGTGAAGGGCCCTTCCCCATCGTTTCCCAGAGGGGTGGACATGCCTTGCCATGGGTACACGGCCAGAAGATGGCTGCGGGATGTGTGCTCAGCGGGAAAGAAGATGTGCTTGGTGTAGGAGCCATGCCTGGCGGTTCCAATCTCATCCCTTTTTGCAATAAAAATGTGTTTTAACAGAGGCAGCCAGGGACTTACCTCCTTATTCTTCTTCGTAAAACCAGTCCTGGCTGCTGAGGCTGTGCGGTGGGGTCTGTAACCCCCACTAGTCTGGGGTGTGACCTCCTGCAGCAGAGGTCTGGGCACCTCGGAGCTGATGCAGCCTCAAAAACTTTCCTGCCCCAAGCGCTTGGCACAGTACTAGATTGGCCACATTGGAGGGAACGAATCTCCCTATGAGCATGTTTTCACTGAAATTACAACTAGTGCTACTGTGATGTTGAAAGAAAGAAGACTGGAGACTTCCCTTGAGCCACAGATAATGTAAACACTTAGTTTTACAAAATGCTATATTTCACCTAACATCATCACTCATATATTTTGCATTTTAGGTGGTGACTCTATCTTTGCTGATGTACCCGGTGCTGAGGAGTCTCGCTCTTCAGCTGCACTCTGCCGCCACCGGCAGCTATGTCTCTGGGACCCACTCCATTGCCTTCATCAACTGTCTCAACGAGCAGATTGCCAAGGATATTGCAAGGTACAGAGACGCTTCCCCTGCTTGTCTGCTTGAATTGCTCGAAAGCAGCTTCTTGTGGATAAAAGCCTTTCCTTGTCCCTTGAGAGCGGCGGTACTTCTCTGTACTTTGCACTTCTATCCCGATGATGCTCCTTTTCTCCTACCCTCTCTCTTTCTCTCTTTGAACCACATATCCACTTAAAAAGAGCTGTGCTTTCTAAAAGAAGGCTGACAATTGCCTCTGAAGTCAATGCCATGGTAACATCAATCCAATTCTCAATTTATTCTCCTGCCTTTCTTTTTCAAGACCCATTTTAAAGTCATGGCCCTAAATCTCTGGGTCCTCAGATGGATTAAGCCCCAGCCCCATGTTCTCTGACCTGCCACGGTCTTACGCAGAAAACAAATTCCAGGAGAGGTGTTTGTGGAGAGCGACAAAGCACAGAACACTGCCAAGAAAAGAAATAAAACCAAAAGTGGTCCACAGCAAACACAGAACAGGCGCTTGTGAGGTACCACCTGGGAGCCTGCACTCTGCTCACCAGGCAAACTCCAAGGAATGAGGGCTCTACCTTGATACTTTTTTTCTCTCTCTTTTAATGTATGAGATACTTTGTGTGATATTTTGCATGCAGAGGTTTTTTGTTTTTTTTCACATATCCATCAGTCCCTGACTCAATAGATGGTTTGTTCAAAGTACTGAAACCATGTTGCCTGGGGAAATGTTTATGATGGACCATTAAGTTTCCTGCAACACCTCTTGCACTCTTTTCCCTGCTGCTTGCCAAAAACTCTCTGTCTTCTGTAAAGTGTTCCCGAACACTTTACAGTGTTCAGGAACTGACGGGCTACTGAAAGGGATTTTGTGTGACCTTAAATACTGCAACTGTATTAAGAAATTCAAATAGAATAATAACTGTACTGCTTGATGTCTTCTGAAAAAAGAAGTAAGCATACGTGGATGGTGAAAAGAGCCTCAGTGCCTGAAAATGCTTCATCTTAACAGCTTTGCAAATGTTTTCCACTCTTTGTTCTGTATCTTGCAAGGAAGGGAAAGGAAATAAATCACTCCCCATTGCTGAGGTATATGTATTTTAGTTGCATTTTTACTGGTGGAGTAACTATTCCTTTGTTTCAGAATTTGGATGAATAAGCCACAGTTGTAGAGGATGACACAGGGCTTCTACACTTATTTTCCCACCCGTGGTTTTCCTGGTGCTCTCGTGTTTATTCTTTCTTTACATTGCTCAATGGAGCACTCACTTTGATGGATCAGACTGCAAGCAAATTTTCTGCTAGTTTTAAGACAGAGGAGTTCAGGGTTTGTGAAAGCAGATTAGCTGCATGTAGAATTCAGCATCTGGCTTGTTCATTGCATCAGTTCTAACCCAGTTTATCTGGATTACTATTAACTGAAAATCCTCAGAAGAAACCCGGAGTTGACAGAGGAGATCTAGTCTCTCCCCTGTGCCCGCTGTGAGAAGCTGACCCCTTTGGGTTGGATGGTGTGGCCATTCCACCTCGCGTAACTTACCTAACACCCGAGCAGCCTGTCAGCCTCCAGTTCTGCCTCAGATTTGTGCATATCATTTTCTTTGCTTTTCTGCTTATTAATATTTCATCTGTCTCAATTCACATCCTATTGTGAGGCAAGGACAAAGAAACACACATTAAGTACCCAACCCAAAGATATCATGTATTATGCAGATGTTTTTCCACAGATCACATTCAGCTTCTTATAATGTTTCCCGTTCCCATGGTGGCCGCTTGTTTCCGCTCAGCTTGCTAGAACAAAGTTGAGGATCTCAGTTAGGATCACAGTTTGTTGGGACAGAGCAGAAGCAATTAGAAGGTACTCACCCAAATCAAAAGGTTCTGGCGCTGAAGTGACTTGGGAGTTGCAGGCAGCAAAAAACAAAATGATTTGTGCCATGTGTTTGACATGATAAACACAGCAGGGATATCTCCGCTCGTGCTGCTGCAGTTTGTTGGTCTACAGATTAACTCAAGATGCTCTACAAGCATTAAATGCCTGGAAGTGGCTACACATGGTGAGAGCAAACAACCCAGAGCCTCCTCGGATAGCTGTCCTCTCGGACCATGGTCCCTCTGAGTCATTGGCAGAGAGAAGTCACTCTCCATCGCCTTGCTGTGCTTAAACGTTAAACCCAGTCTGGCAGGTTAGCTGGGGCCATGCACTGGTTCTCCGGTGCACTGCTGGAGTGGCGAGATGTCGTAGGATCATGGGGAAGGGCTGCTTTCCTCCCAGCGCCTGGGCTGCTCCTGATTCCTCTCTGCCCTTGCACAAGGACACCTTTGCCTTGCGCTTGTGGTTGCAAGATATAAACCTCTACAAATGGACGGAGAAAGCAGGGCTGATAACGAAGGTGTGCAAAGGAGCTTATGCACATTCAAACGAGAGCCCGTCTTTCCTTATGGGTCAGAGGCCAGATCACAAGGCACGATGCAGTTGCACGTTAGCGCTTTGGCCGGGGTGTCTTCAGGTCACTGCTGCAGGGCAGGCATCTCTTGTGCTCCTGCTGCTCGTCCTCGGGGGCGCACTGGCCGGTTTGTTCTGTAATCGCCTCCAGTCTGTACCATATCCTGGGTGCAAAGACAATAAATCTTTAACTTGCTCTGAGCCAAAAGTGTCCTGGAGAGCATTTTGGAGTGGAGTAGTAGTTAATCAGACTGGTTTTAATTCTTCAGCTCACTAAGGGTTAATTTTTGCAAGTTGTTGAATCAGCCTTTCAGCATCTAATAACTCCTATCTTCTCTGCAATTCAAGGTCAGCTAGAAGTTAAATGTTTGCATTGTCAAAGCACTTGGTACAAAATAGTGCCCAGTGATGCCAGTGTTAAAGAAAACCAAAGGTAAAATCGCTCACACAGCTGCCTGCAAGAGGGATGGGGCCGCCATCTCCATGGGAAGGGCCCAGACATTGCTGTGGTCAGAAAACACAGTGTTTGACCTAGTTCTTCTAAAAATCCACCCTGAGATTGTTTCAATACTCTTTAATCACTTAAATATCACTTCTGCTGGCAGACCCAAGCCACTCTGCAATAACAAATCAGCCCACAACTAAAGGAGGCAGCCAGAGGGAAGGAATTTATTTGGGCTTCAGATTTCTAGGTCGTTTTGGGTAGAAAAACCTTGATGTTGTTAATTTAACAAGATCCACATTTAGTCTGCTGTGTGAGGAAGAGGCATAGTTTGACAGCATAAATACAGGACCAGGAGACAAACCCTCTGGTGTCCATCCCAGCCCTGGTTCTCACGGCCCCGTGGCTCAGCCCCTTCCCTGGTGTCCCCGCGGCACGATGGGCAACAGGGCTGACGCTGGGCAGGGTCCTTGCACCGTGTGAGGGACGGGTCCCATGTACTGCTCCAGAACATGAGCAACACCGAACCTTCCTGCTTGGTGGAGGGGACAGTGAGGACTGTCGCAGAGCTGTGCCAGGAGGAGCTGAGCTGCAGCAGCTCCAACTGGAGGTCACCTTTGCCTCAGCTTTCCCAGGGTAATAATTAACCCCAACTCCCCCATCTCCAATGTCAAAGCTGGTGCTGGCGGTCAGAGGCAGCACAAGGGAATGTCCCCGTGGCTGGGGGCAAGCGCTGAGCCGCAGCGAGCTGGGGACAGGCACTAACTCCCCCTCCTGTCTTACCCAGGGCCATCATGGATAAGAAGCTGGCTGCCTACGTGAACATCCTGCCGAAGAGCTCGGCCTTGTAAGTTGTGCTGAATATTCCCTGATGGAGGAGGCAAAGCTGGGCTCCTGGCAGGAGGAAAGGAGGAGATGGACACCCCACGGCCCCAGGGAGAGGAGGCAGTTTCCAGAAGGCTGCTGGATCTCTTTGTTGTTGCAGATGGTAGAGATGATCCTCACCAGGGCAAAGTGTGCTAAGCTCATTAAGGAGTGCAGATGCTCCGACTGCCAGTGGGGACCATTTATTTATTGGTTACTTAGATGCACAGAGATCTAGCAAAGAGCAAGGTGATTTATGGCCCTGAGGACATGACACCTGTTTTTAGAGGATCTAAAAAGAAGCCAAGATAGGGACCAGAAAAGGCCTTTACAATATTAAGCGGCACTTTCAGGAAGGAAGAACGGTATCTTTGACTTGAAATACAACCAGCCGTGCTCTGAGGGTGTCCTCAGCAAAGGGATTGCACTTTTTAGAGAGGTTAAAGAACAAATCCCCAAAACAGCCATTTGCTCGACGGACCACCCTGGCCTGGCCCCACATTGCAGCCTCCCCGCGGTAGGGGGTCCTCCCAGCACCCCCTCCCCAGGCTGTTCCATAGCCCAGCCAAGGCTGCTGAGGCAGGGCAAACCCAGTAACACCCGTCTTCCCCTTACACTTGGTTCCCTACGAGCCACAACGGCCGGAGCCGAGTTGCTTGTGCGCAGCCCTGCCTGCTCCAGCTGGATTCCCCTCCATGCCCCGCTCAGCAGACACCACGATGCCTCCGAATGCCTCCTGGCGCAGGAACTCAACGCGCAGATGAGATCACGATGGCCTTCTGTCAACATAAATGTTTTGAAAGGTCATATCTGACTCATGAGATCTACATCTCTCCTGCAGGCGTGATCCTGCCACACTCAGCTTCCCAGCTGCAGCCGCGCTGCAGTGCCTGAGGCACTGTCACCCGGCCACTGCTTGGAGCAGAGCTGCCACCATACAGACCCCCAGAGCCACCCCATTCCCAGCTCCTCTGCCTTGCCGCCCCCCCTGGGCAGCTCTCTGGAGGCTGGCACAGCCAAGGAGGCTCCGGTCTGTAATTCCAGGGTGCTCAGTCACGTACACAGCAGACTTTGGGGGCCAGTGATGCTTCCTAAGCACCACTTTGTAAAGGAACAGCCACACGCAGACAGCACCAGGCAGGAAAGCTAAACCCCCCAGGGAAAGCAACATGGCTGCACCCAGAGCTGTATTTGCTGATGCTTCTTTTCTTTTAAATTTAGGTATTTCTGGAAAGGAGAGCTGGAAGAATCCACTGAAATACTGCTGGTAAGTGACAATTCCCCAGGTCGTGAAAACCCCCATCCCAGACAGCCCCAGCCAAAAGGGGCCACAGGGAGGTTTGGGGAGGATGGCACCAACAAGCCGAGATTTGGGACAGTACCCAGGGACCCCAAGCACCCACCTGCGGGCATGGCAGTCGTGGCTGGGGGTGGCAGCCTGGCTCGGCCCCTCATCCTGCCACCACAGGGGACATCCCCCAGGGAAGAGACCAGGAAGGGCTCCTATTGCACTGCCGGGTGCTGGCTGTGCTGGATGAACGCAGTGGAACTGTGCCTGCAGGATTGCTCCATCCCCTTTACTTCTCCCCTGATTTTTTTTTCTTTTTTTTTTTTTTTTTTAACTCTCCACAGTTAGTGAAAACAAGGACATCCAAAATAGGTGAATTGACCAACTACGTCAGGTGAGGCTCTGGCTCCGTGGGAGCGCTGGGTTTCCTATACAAGGTATGCTGCCATCTCACGCTCAGGCTTTGGGAGTCAGTTTCTTGAGCTGCTTCCCATCCAGAGGGGGTTTAAGTGCTCCTGATGCACCTTCTGAGCCCGAAAACAAAGAAAAAAAACCAGAGATGGCAGCAGCAAAAAAAAAAAAAAAAAAAAAAAGGTTTGCAGGAATATCAACTGTTGGGGTCCAGCCAGCCCCTCCGTACTGGGTACATGGAGGGATTCTCCTTCTCCTAACACAGGTTATTCCCTGGCTGCCTCCTGGCAGGATTTCCTGCATTTCCCAAGCACTGAGTGGTGAGTGCAGGCAGCTTCAGGCCAGGGCCCCTGGCGATCAGCTGCTGGCTGTGGTAAACCCCAAACTCAAAGCAAAATTCTTACATGGCAAAAAGAAGATGCGGGTGCTTTGAAGTCAGTGGAGAGCGTGGGACAGGGCTGGCGCACACGGCTGGGAGCGGAGACCTCTGCTTCCTGCGCCTGCGAGCGGGTCTGCTCTGCCTCGGGGCTGTTGGTGACACTGTTCCTCTGCATCTGTTTCCACTTTAGATCTATCCATCCCTTTGAAATTCCCGAAATCATCAGCCTGCCTATTGACCAAGGGAACCCTCTCTACCTGAAATGGATAGAAGAAAGCGTCCCACGGGACTAACTGAAAAGTGCAGAAAGCACCTCGCTTTCGGGGAGACCAGGTGAAACGTGCTGAGCCACGCTGGTCTCCCTGTCCAGGCAGGAGTTACGCACACGTGGGGAGGCAGCTTACGTCTTCACAGGTTTACTATAACACAGAAGCTTGGGATTGGGAATTTCGTTTGCACTCGAAGCATCCCCTCCTTGGCCTGACCCTGCACTCCAGGGAGCACCAAGCAGCCCGGAGGTGCTGGCGGCTGAAGTGGGGAAGGGCTACGTGCACCAAGGGCTGTTGCAGCATTGAGGATACACGGAGATGCTTGTGTCAGGGCAGGGCAGCATTTGGGGGCTGTCTTGGGCCCCCAGCAGCAAACGCCAGCTGGTAGCCATGGCCTGGCAGCCCCTTCAGCACTGTGTGTCCCTGCAGCCAGCGACTGTACAGCAGGATGTGGCCAGGCACCCCGCAACGCGCCGGCTCACACCCTCTCCTGCTGTCATGCAATGTGCTGGTTGGAGTCTTAACAAAATCCAAGGAAACAGCAAACTTGAGCAGGCGCTGCAAGCATTTACCCAGAGCCGCAAGGAGCGCACGCACTGACCCTGCCCTACCCGCCGAGCCGGGGTGAGCTGGGCAACATCCACCGCCAGGTCAGGGAAATCAAGTGCCAGCAGGACCAGGGCATCACCCGGCTGTACGGCATCGTCCCGGCCCTGCATCCCCTACCCACGCCTGAATGGTGGCTTTCTACCCAGACCAAGTTTAACCTTGTAAAAAAATGCTCATGTTAATAATTTATGTTATTTATGTGACTGGGAAGGGAATAAACAGGAGTGTTTCTTACCTGGGCAGGCTCACACGTTGTTGCAGTGTGCAGGCGCAGTGTCCGCGGTGAGCCGGGCAGGAGGACGGGCCCGTCGTGGGTTTGCGGTGACCCTCTGCAGCCCGATGCTGAGCGATGCTCCGCTCGCTCCCACCTGCGTGTCTGGGGCTTGTGCAGAAGTGGTACAGGGCATTTTGCCGGCATTGAGAGCTGTGCCCGCGGGCTTGTGTGGCCCCATCAGCCGTCAGAGGGAGTGCGGGGAAGGCTCCCAGGTGCAGGAAAGAGACGACAACAGGGAAAATGGTCTGAGCTCTGAAAGTGGGAATCTTCTCAGTGCTGAATCCAAAGAAACAGGGTACCAGCTGGGCACCTTGTGTGGCAAAAAGGGACACAGCGCGTGAAGCTAGCACCAGCACCGCACCCAAAGCTAAGCTTTGTTACACTTCCTCAGGGTTACGTTGTGCAATGTGCAGGTTTTAGGCTAAGACTGAGTGGATGGGGACCATTTGGGACATCACCAGTCAGCAGGACTGCGAGTGAGGGCAGCCCCTTTCTACCAAACCCATCACTGCAAGGGGTGTCCCTGCCCCCTGCTGTCCCCACACTCCACCGGCTGTGCCCACGCTCACCCCTTTGCATCCTTCTGCTGTTCTTGTGCTTTGGGGCAGCATCTCTCCGGCCAAGGGGACACCTCAGCCTGGCACAGAGCACGACCCAACAGCACCAGCTGCATCGTGGTGGGCACCGGGTGCCTGCCCGGGAGCACACTCTGACCCCCAGTGCCTAAACTCAATAATCCTGACACCACAAAGAACCAGTGATGTTAATAAAAAAAGACTTTTTAATTGTACATCAGACATTAATTACAACTTCGGTATAACAAGAGTTGGTTATTACAAGCAGCAACCTGAAGTCATAGATCTTTAGAAGGTGCACAGAGTCATTATAATATCTATTACAGCTAACGCAAAATATACTCTGCAACAAAAATACTTATAGAGGCTCCACATTCAATTCTCTGCAAGAGGCCAAGAGGAGAGGAGATGGAGGACAGAGGGAGAGGAGGGGAACCGAGGCCACATGCTGTGGGTGCTCCCACGAGTGCAACGTCCATTGGCACATCCCATGGGAATAACCCAGCTCGGCCCTGGCACGGCTCTTGGCAGCCCCCCGACCCCCAGGCAGCAACTTGGACAATCACAAGGACTTCACAAACACTGGTGAAAGGGAAATACTTGAAGCGATCCTTTGGTGACAAGCCAAGGCAGGACGGGCAGTGACCGGCTGGCTGCAGGAGCTGACCCCCCTCTGCCAGGGACCAGGCAGCACCTCTCCCAAAAGGACGGGGACCCGCCGGAGATGCACCCCTCCAGATGAGCCGAGATGCAGACCCTGAGGGTGCCAAGCGCCTCTCCCCAACGCACCTCAGACCCACTCGGCTCTAACCACCTTGTGGTTGTTGGCCAGAGCCTCCTCTCCCAAATCTCATGCCGCAGAAGCAGCCAGCAGCTTCTCCACCGCGCACACCACCAGCTGCACAACACCGGGCACCTCATCAGAAAGGAGTTAAAATGCTTTTACCTGCTGAGCCAAATAGTCACACTCCTAGTACGGGCACCGAAGCAGGTCACGCATGGTCCAAACCACGTGAGAACATCCTGGGGCTTCAGAGAAGCTGCTGCTCTGCACCACGGCCCTGGGTGAGGCATCGTCACTGCAACCGTCACCTCACAGCTGCAAAGGCCTGGTGCCTGCTAGGTTAATTAAAACAACTGGTAACCCACCCACTTCATGGGTGTTCCACTACATTATTTTAGCAGTAGCTGAAGCAGGAGTTTGGTTTTAAGGACCATGCTTTGGCTTCTGGTTTGCAAACATCACCTGCTCCCTTGTGCTGATCACGCCAACAAATTTTCTGAAGTACTTTTTCAGTAAAACAACCTTTTCAGTTCACCCTCCAGTCAGCAGATCCCACAAGCACACGTACAAACAACGATGGGGCTTCAGGGACGGGGTGTGCTGATGGAGCGGGACCACACAGACCCCCCAGCATCGCCCACCCGCCGTCCCCATGGGACGGCCACGGTGGTGATGGGGAGAGACAAGAAGGACATTAAAAATATATATCTCTCTCTCTTAGATAAAAAAACATCTAACAAATATGTCTGATGATATTACATTTTTTTTTAAAAAAAAAAAGACAACTACTTTGCTCCTGAACAACCTGGCAGTATTGCTTGAGTTAAAGAAAGGGACTGCTCCCTCTCTCCTGCAGACAAACCGGCCCCACGCGCTCACAGACGTTGGCAGTGCCCCAGTAACAGAAAGCATGGCTGCTCTCCGGCCAGGCACAGCCACGAGGCCACGGGGATGGCCGTGGGGACCGCGGTACAAGTACAACCTCCTCCCCGTGCCTCCGCTGTCCTCTTCAGCCTTTTTGGTTTGTCTGCTTGTTTGGCACATTCAGGATGAGGATTCCTGCGGGAATAAAGGCCTCAGGCTCCAGTCTGTGAAATGCCTGCGGTGGTTTTAAGGCAAGGGCGTATCTTTTGGCTGATCTCTTCCAAGACCGTGATTGTCACAAGAACAGGGGAACTGGTGCATCACCCAGGGAAGCTGGTGCATCATCACACGCCGTCCAGGTTGCGGGACAAGAGCGACCACATGTATCTGCCCCGCGGCCGCAAAAGCCGACCGCACATGGGCTGTTCACAGGGCATTTTCCCCTCATTTAAACCAAACCACATTCCTTTAATGAATGGATTTATGAGGAGGAGGAGAACCCCATATACTGACTCTGGGGAGAGCTGCCCATGTTTCCTAGGGGCTGTGCAAGCACGGGTCGGGGAGCTGCTCTTTGCTGTAGCAGCAGGACCCCCTCCGGTCTGCTCGGCACGGCTGGGATGTGGGGCCCAGTCGTGGCGCATCAGGCACCGGCACAACGTCCATCTGCATGAGCAGGTTGTGGGCTTCCCCAGGGGGTGCCCATCCACGCCGGGAGAGACCCTTCTGGAAAGGCCAGACCCGCTCACTGCTCCGACCACCGCCGTGACGGCGCCTCGGGCTTGGCCGAAGGCTCCATCAGGAAGGCACAGCTGAGCCGCGCTCTGCATATCCACAGCCAATAAAATAAAAAATGTTAAGTTAAAAAAACCCCAAAACACAACACAGCGGCAAGGCTGTGGGCTTTCAGCCTCGGGCAGCACTGCCGACGGCGCTGGTGACCCTGCCTCCCCCCGCGGCAGTGCCCAGCGGGACCCCTGAGCACGGCGGGGGCCTGCGCCCCTCCTCTGCTTCGCGGCGAGGCTTTCCCCGTCATCCCCATCTCCGCTGGTTTGGCTCCGGGAGAGGTTTTGGGAGCTGGCAAGGCTCAGTAGGGGGTCGTGCCTTCCCACTCCACCAGGTACTGCACCTTCCCCTCCAGCGTCACCCGCCGCGCCAGCACCTGGTACTTCTCGCCGCAGACCAGCCTGCCCGCCGCCCCGAAGTAGCTGCTGATGGAGGACTTGAGGTGGGAGAGCGAGGAGTCGTCCTCGCTGATGCTCTCGAAGGTATGGCTGTCGATGCCGTCGTCCGGGCGGTCGGGGCCGCAGGCTGCCTCGCTGCCCTCGGGGGTACCCCCGGCTGGGCGCCCGCCCGCCTGCCCACCTCTCCTCTTCGCCCCCGCCGAGGCGTAGGCTGGTGCTGCCAACTTGCGCTTGCGGCTGCCCACGGTCCTCCGGCTGCGAGGGTGGGGGGACACGACAGAGGAGGGGTGAGAGCAGCACCCAAAAAGGTGCCCCCCGCCGCACTGGCTGTGCCTGCTGTCCTGCGAGATGGGAGGGAGCTCGCCACGAATTCGGGCGAGCCCAGCAAGGACCGACGGCTCCAGCCCTGCATGCCCAGCACCGCTTTGGGACCACCAGCCCACGTTGGGTGGCAGGGAGGAAAGGTTTCCTGATGTGGGACATCTCTGCTGTCCTGTGGGACTCAAGGGTGCTGCAGGGGGAGAGGGGCAGCCCCTCATCCCCCTGGCTGTGCCCCCAGGACCCCTCTGGAAGGGGGCGAGGGGACACAGCCCTCACCTGGACTCATAGGAGAGGCTCGTGGTGGCCGAGCCCGAGGTGCTGGCGGCATCCGTGGAGTCCACGTCCGATAGGAAAGTCTGTCCCGAGCTGGCACTGGGGACGGGAGGCAGTGTCGGACCCAGCCCGGCGCAAGGGACCCGGTGGCTGGTCCCCTGCGTCCCCAGCTCTGCCTTCGCACTTTGGCATTTCACCCCCCCTGCTGCCCACACCCCCGGGGCCCGACCCCACGGACCTTTTCAGGCTCTGAATTTCATCCAGTGTGAAGTCAAAGATGCTGGCCAGGTGGTGGTTGGTGCTCCAGGCGGAGGTGAAGTCGCTCTGTCCCATGAAAACAAGGGCACTCGTCACTGCCGAGCGGAGCGGTGCTGCCTGCGGCCCCGCCATCGGCACCCGCTGCCCCGGCACCACTGCGCTCCCTCCCGTGGTCCCGCAGCCCCCGGGACGCAGGTTTGGCACAGAACATTTGCAAACCCCGGGGTGAGGGATGGGGGCTCTCTCCTTGCCCACCGGAGTGGGGGAACCTCACGGGGAGCCCCAGTGATGGGGGCTGTGGGGTCCCATCGGGCTGCCAAAGCCCAGGCTGCTCATGCAGAGGAGGGGGTGAAGGACTCACGCTGGGAATG